GATAATAACAAAACATTCCATAGATGTTTGAGGTTTATAGTACAATTATCAAGAGGGTTTTCAAAGGTTCTGTGCTCAAAGAGGTCTCTGAACTGTGCCTTTGTGATATATTGTAAAAAAGCTGTAGGTAATATTCGTATTTATATAACGAATTGTTATTAATGTGTTGGTGTTTTTCGATTAAGTCTTTTATTTTATTAGCCAATCTTAGATTGATTAATTAAAATGATACCTGTAATCATTAAGCATGATTTTTACCTTTTCGGTTAAAAATAAGAAGTAATACAATAAATTACGCATCGGAGAAAAACATCTTTGTACTACGTCTACGGATTTAGAATCAAACTGTTACTGAAAACTGCAAACTGTTAATACGTAAATTTGTGTATCAAAAAATTCAAAGATTGCGTTGCACCCCTAACCTTATAAAATCTAAATTTACACATGGCCACCATCTTATTGTCAAATTGTAGTTACTCTATGATTCTAAGAGATCTTAGCAAATATTTTGACGAATTTTGAAAAATAATATTTCTAACTTTACTTAACTAGATAGGTATATCTAGACTAATAAATCTATCTGTGGAGGGGACACAGACGGCAAGCCCAGGGGTTGCAATGTCATCAGGACGATTAATTAGTGGAAAATGAACATCACACCGTTCGACATTTTCAATTACAGCTATCCGGAAACGGAACTTGATTACCGCACGGCCGAAGGGATCATTAAATCTAATTAAAAACTATGAAATATGTTCTTATTTACTTTGGTTGACTATTGTATGGTTGAAAGATATAAGTATTTTACATATTGCTTGGAGCAGTGTTGGTGTAGTGGCTTCAGCGAGCGACTCTCATCATGGAGGTTGTAGATTTGATCCACGGCTATGCATCAATGGATATTCTGCCGCGCAAATAACACCTTCCTTCCTGCACCGTAAAGCAAACATCGCGAGGAAACAAACAAATCAAATCCAGAACAGAAGGATGATCATGAGGCCAATACAGTGTTGTAGCGCCAATGAATTATTATTATTATTAAAGCGGTGTATACAGCTGGATTTTAAGAGATATCGTTACTCTACGGAAACCTGTTTTATCGCAACAAGAGATTTAATTATAGTCGATATTTCAGAATAAATATGTAAATTTATCACTATAATATCAACAGTACACAGTTGTCGCTAGATACGACAAAATGTTCATATAACCCATGATACAAAGTGTCTATCCAACAAAAGTTTGAAAGCAGCTTTATTCTTGAGTTTTGAAATCTTGTGTTACATAGGTACATAGAAAATTATAAATAACACATGTACATTTGTCGTAAACTTCCTTAAAGCTGAAATATATGATATTTCCGAATGGGTAAGGTTACGTTAAACAGTGACATATTGCAAAACTACAAGACTTAAATACTGCCAAAAGATCAAAACTTTGTTGCTCCAATGATAAATCTTGCAGAAAATGTATTGTTACTTCCAAAGCAAACTTGGAGCCAAACAATAAAATAACAATTCTGACTGCTCACCAAATATTTCAATGTATGATCATTTGTCTGTTTTTCTTTGTAAACACCAATCACTTGCGCTTATGGTGAAAAAATCCTGAGGACGAAATCAAGAGGATAAAAGCCCCGTATAACAGCCCAAAGTGTTGTGTACTTCCGTAGTACCTACGGGAGTCTCGACTCTGAATCGTACCATTAAGCCCAAAACTAGATGACATATGGTCAGGCCCAGATGAGATAACGAGCAGGCCCTGTGTGTGTGTCTACTGCCACCCATGGACACCTTCAACACCAGGAGGTTTGCAACTGCGTCTCGGCCTTTAAGGTAGTGATACGCTCTTCTCTTGAAGGCCCCCAAGTCGAAACGGTTCGCAAATACCAGGAATGGCAGCTGGTTCCATCAAGTGGTCAAGTTGCGGCAAGAAGTTTCTGATCAAATATGGTTTTTTATATTTTTTACTACAGTAGGGACTGGACCGACCTATGGGCACAATCCCACCTAATGTAAATGATGGCACACCTATCCAGGAGATGCCTATTAATTCGCCGCTAAAATGAACCCATATTAAACTAGGACGATGGAAGGTGGCAAGGAGTTCCACTCTTTTGCTGTTTTTATAAGAAACGACAAACCAAATCGTGCAGTGCGCACCCTGGGGATGTCAACAACAAAGGGGCGAAACTCCAGCGTGCTTCTCGATGAGCGTTGTTTGAAAGGGGATTAAATAAATAAGATCAGGTATAAAAAACAGGAATGTGTCCGCCCGATGCTCTCTTCAGAGTTACAGGACTTGCATACGATTGATGAGTGTTTTTTTATTTTATTAAGTCGATAATTGGATTTATTTCAGTCTGGCTGTACATCTGCTACACATTAGTATGTTGATGAGCCAATCACAGCAGTAACGAGGATAAAATGATACATTAGATACGTAATTGAATTAGGGTGTCCAGCATTGTATTAATAGAACGCTGAAATAGTTCAGTTAAATATATGTATGGAATATAGTTTTCCTGTGTCTGAGCTGTGTAAATTTTTGTGATTTATTGCAAAAATAATCATTTAAAATTTAACGAAAGATGAGAGACGCAAGCTGTTAGTTTTAAAAAAGTGGCAAGCTTTATAGGCAAGAATCGTCGATTTTGAGTCCTTCACCGATCAGTCTGCATGAAGTATTCGTTTCACAAAGACGTTTTAAAAATTACAATATGTATTTCCATAATTTCTTCTCTGATTTAAGTGAGAGTATATTAAGAACATAAAAAATAAAAATGTAAACATAGAAAATATAACATTTTTATTGTCCAATTATGCTACTTTACGATTTTCATATTTATTCCATTAGAAAAAAGGCAATAGTATTATGCAAATAATGCATAAAGTAACATTAGTAAGACTTGATGCAATTAATGACCCCCTGAACGCGTGCCCATTATTTATGTCCCAATCCCACAAAATATGGGGATAATATCGGATAACAGCTTTAACACCCCAACTGGGAATTAGAAATACTAGTTTTCTATGATAATATTTTGATTTGATAGTCTAGAAAGGTTTTATAACATGAAAATGAAAAAAAAAAACAATAATTTGCAGTTAAAGTAGTGATAGCACTATCATCGACCGAAACAGCAAGGCCGAAAATATGAGATTTTAAAACTGTTGTTCATTACAAAATTATGTACATTCAACCACTTAATAAAATAAGGCATATAAAAAATACAATTATATAAGTGTTTAAAATTCTAAAATAGCGCCATCTGTGAAACACATTCTCAAACAGTGTGGTTATTAGCAAGATGGATTATACTCTAACTTACATAACGTGGTTTCAATACAGACGCATAGATGTCGCTTAATAAAGTTTATTATAATTAAATACAGAATTTCAGTTTTTTAAATACAAGTGATAATTCAACATTATAAGAATCTTCACAGTTTACCATGTACTATTATTAAGTATAGGAAATTAAAAATATCTTATTAAAAACTCAATTATTTCAAACGAGTTTATGTATATTTCGTGTCGCCATAATCTATTGTAAGGCCATTCATATCGCAAAACAATTACGATACAAAAGAAAACATTTATTTAAGTATTTTCTGGTACATAAATATTGTGAAACTTTTTGGGAAATGTTTTAATGATTGTCTGAAACTAGGAACTATAATGAAATAGTTATCCGTTGTTTATACGATAGTGGTTATACGAAAGCAAAAGATTTTTATTTTCAGTTTTGATTCAAAATAAGATTTGTAAGCTATCTGGCCAGTACTAAAAATAAATTTTAATTAATGAGATTGCCTGCGAAATTTTCATTTTCTATTCGTGCAAAGTTTTTATATAAAATGCACAGAACTAGGAAACAGGAAGTTCCTGTAAAAGCGAGCGGTATGTAAACATAGCCTTTTCACTGATAGTTCATCTAGATAAGTAGGTGAGGCTTTCATATTGGAGTGAAAAAGTGAGGCTAGTTTAGAAAAACTGGCCAATGGCCGCATAAAATAAACCTTTAATTATTTAGGAACGACGCTCACAAATTATACAAAGATTTTTTTATTTTATAAAAGAATAAGTTCTAGAACCTGACTGGGGCAGCGATAATTCAGCCTCTGATTTGTTCATTGTTTTTTGTAAAAGGTAGTAACAAATTCAACATGTCTACATACCTACTTTACATAATGCCGGCTATAAGGGGTTAACTTTTGATTAAAAATACACTCAACCGAATTCAAACGCCTTGTGCCTTTCGTACACGGTTTTTATTATTATAAAAATATATTTGTAAAACTATGATATTTAAACAAGCTTTAATTTATTAGAGCTTTATTAATGATAGACAAAAATATATAGATATATACAAAAAGTGGTTAACATTTCTTAATATGAGTATTAGTTGTGTAAGTATAAGTTATAAAAAATTAAGTTAGTTCAAAAAGCCTCCTCCATATTTTTCAAATTTCTCTTTTTTTTCTCAATGCATTGTTCAGATCTAATTGTTTTGTTTTGGATGATAGGGATCTTACGTTAAAAGTGCATAATTTTAATTGTTGTGCACGCCACAACAACGTGGAGCGGTTTTATGATGGTCCTCTTTATCGTTTTTCATATGTAACGGAGGGTGGGTTACCACAAACAAGCTTTAGTATCTTTTAAATCTAAGGTAGTCTCGTAAACAGAAGACAACATTGACATTTCACTTTAGGGACTGTAAAGTTTTTAAAATACCCTGGTAATGTTTTGATTTTTATTCAAAATAGTACTTAAATAAGCATAAAATAAAGACATTAATATTTATGTTTGGGTATGAAACCATACAGAACTACGACCTCTTTTTAAGAGCTTTTCTGTCGCTAAAGCATCTCATAAAACGTTGGCCATTACGTGCTGTTGAAATCGAAGGAGTTAATAAAATTATATTGTATTTTATTACCTTATTTACTTAAATTGTTGTTCATACCGCGTTATACATATTACCATAGTAGCACCTATATATACATAATTTTTGAAAATAAAGTTATAATTATAAATTGCAGCAACTCTACCTGTGAGCTAGTTGTGAACTCGTCTGCGGGTGGTTCCCGAGCAAACCTCTCGAACTTAAAGCTGTTGGAACGGTAAAGTTCGTTGTCCTCCCGCGAGCGCCGACCGCGGCAAAACCGACGAGCGATTGAAGTGTGCCTGCAATATAGCGATTCCAATAAAATCGTTTGACCCTTATAAATAAACGGAGTGCTATACTTTTGTTACTTCCCAAAGGACATATAGGACTGAGAACTATAAATATATATGTACACGAGATTGACTTAATAGATAGGTATTGAATTTAAATAACCTCTCAAACCTACTCAGGGGGTGGGGGGAATGTAATACGAGAGACAAAACGATTGTGCTCTCCGTTCCGTTGTGATTGACCACAGCATCTAGTCATATTATTTCGTCCTTTTCACCAACCACAATCAAACGCAATGTTGTATTACTTTCTCACACCCGTACAGTTTTTCAATTTTATATATTTAAAAAATTTTAGTTAATAAATACGTAATCGTCGAGATAGATTGTATTTTTATTTATATTAAAAAATATATTACGGTTTGTGTCACAGAAACCATGTTACTGCTAGGCATATGTGGCATACAGGCAGTAAGTATATATCCCGTAAAAAACTTTTGTGAGATAAATAGAATTATTGTAAAATTTTAACCAAAATGATAATGATTTATTTAAAAAAAAACATATATTCAATAAGCCTACAACAGGATTATATATATATATATATATATATATATATATTTATATATTTATATATATATATTTATATATGGTGCGATAAGTTTTATGAAAATATTTGATTGTGGGACTATTTATGAAAGAGTGAACGGCCGTACATATTATATGTTAAGAACTGAATTCTGTGGATAACTTAATTGACTAATATTAAATAAAAGTAAAATAAATAATATTGACACCAAACAGCATATATGTACCTCAACAAGTAGTCTTTCGATAGTTAAAAGATTCTTAATTTAAATTTTATTACTCACCTCGAATCACTCGAATGTAAAGGCCATTGAATTCCGAAAATTTTCAACTTTGCAGGAGGGCGCCGCTTTTGTTCTGTGCGAGTATTTGTCTCCTCGACGGGTGGTGTATGATGTCTTCCTCCAGATGAGGCTCTAGTACCACTTCTGCGTCGTCTACGGCGTCTTCTCTCAACGAGAATAAAGTTATCCCCGTTTCTGATAATGTACGACGACCGCAAAGTCGACTTTTCCTCTCCCTGCCTCTGACGTATCAAATCAGCTGTTCGTAGCGTGTGGATATTCTGATACTCGGCCTCCGGCGGGGCGGATGACGTCACTTCTGTGCTGGTTCCACTTCCATCCCTTTTCTTGCGGGAGGAATGGAGACCAACTCGACGCCAAACCTTTTCCATGAATCTGTATTTCCTGTCATCCCATTATATTTTCGCCGTCACACCGCACGGCGAGCACTGAACACTTCAATAGTTAAACACAATAGTTCTTTACATACTTACAATAGTTCAAGCACACTTGAATGAATGCACTACTCATGTCTTTATGAATAGAAATAACGTCACAAGCCACTGATTTATCAGACACTCATTGTTCGGGAGTCGCGGTATTCACGGACAGCAGACCACCTATGGCGGATATTGCACAGTAACGTGCAAATCTGGGCGTAAGTAATTAATACCTTATTAAGACGTACTAGGTTAATGGAATGAGGGGAAAGAATAACTTGTTTTTTGACATCACATAAGGTCCCGGCCCTACAGACAGGGTGCGGGTGCAGTGTGCGCATGCGTGGTCCCCCTCGCTTACCTATACTTGAGCCCTCGGCGAAACAAAGTCGAAAATGGCGGATCTTTCACCCCCTTCCCAAGCGGTTATTGAATATCTAATTTTATCCTGCATCTGCTATGCAATAGCACTTAATAAAAAAACGGTTTTCTTTAGAATCCTGGATACATCATTAGGATTTATTAGCTTCACGTTATTATTATTTAATCCAACTACACAAATATTAGCAAAAATTAAAATTTTCACACCGATTATGATTAATTTTTCACGCGACCACATTGTGTCTTTACATGATTGTAGAACAAAACTGATATATCTCACTGCACTAAGCTGTGAATTTAACTCATAATTTTTAGACTAGAAAACCTGGTGCTTAATGAAACCTGACGATTGTTTCCATGGACTCTTTCGAACTCCATGGTGCGAGACAAATATCTACTGGTTTTTAAAACAATGCTATTTTACTAGATAAAATCGTCAGCGGAGGATTTACTAGCAGTCTGAAAAGCTGCAAATTTAGCTCGAAATTTTTGTCTAATAGAAATATAAACAAACTCATGTTATAGGTATTGATAAATGATAAATGATTTATTTCTGTAAGTAGGTTTTTACAAACACTTTTACACGTCAAACATTTTTTTTTTAAACTAGATGAGATCGACGTTTCCTATCTGACTACTCTGAGAAGAAACGCCGAAACAAACACAGAGGTCACAGTCTCTTTTAAAGTCCAGACATAACAAGATTATGTGAAGACCATGTAGATTGCAGTCTGAAATGGTCTTTTGAGGAAAGAACCACACAGATTGAGTGGACCTGTCAAGTCCAAAGACAAATTTTTAGTGGGAGTGCCATGCTGTTGCCTTCGGGCTTCAGCCAAATGGGCAGGCACGACCGGGGCAGTACCACTGTCTCTCAGAAAACCGGCGTGAAGTGATGCAATAGGTTCCACTTATTGTACTCGCGTTTCGTGCGGTGAGAGAGATTCCCGGAGCCCATCCCCCACGACTTTGCTATAGCTTACGACTTGACGCAAATGGTCCCTGCGATTACGCGAATACCATATGTGGATGGTCATAAACCCGCTTTGTTGGACCTTCTGCTGACTTCACATCCGGAGAACTACCAAGTCTCTGTTGATCCGCCATTGGGTTCATCAGATCATTGTGTGGTCCGGAGCATTGTGCCGTTCACGCACCCTCTACGGCCCAGCTTCGCGGGCTGTCGTCGCGTGTGGCACTATAAGTCAGCAGATTGGGATGGGATGCGGTCTTTTTTTGCGTCCTACCCTTGGGGGCCCATTTGCTTTTCGTCGAGTACTCCAGATGCCGTCGCTGACTCTGTCGCCGAGGTGGTCCTGCAGGGTATGGAACTTTTTATTCCATTCTCTGCGGTGCCGGTCGGTGGCAAGTCCCAGCCTTGGTTTAGGCGTTCTTGCAAAGCGGCTTTGCGCCGTAAGCGTGAATGCTTTAAAGCCTGGGCAGAAGCGGTGACATCCTGTGATGTCACTATCGGCGAACGTAAAAAAGCATACAATTCAGCCTCCAGGTCCTTCAAGCGGGAAATCGCTAAAGCAAAGTCAGAGCACATTGCTAGATTTGGTGAGAAATTGGCCCGCCTCCCTTCGGGCTCGAGCCTTCTGGTCTCTTGCCAAAGCTGTCCAAGGGAATTTCTGTCAGCCCTCAATTCCACCACTGCATAGGGAGGATGACTCACTGGCCCATACCGCGAAGGAGAAGGCCGATCTTCTAGGCTGTCTCTTTGCGTCGAACTCCACTTTGGATGATCAAGGGAAGGAACCACCGACATTATTGCGGTGTGATACTACGATGCCCGAAGTTATATTCCGGCAACGTGCTATCCGTAAAGGTTTGTCTTTCTTGGACATCCATAAGTCGAGTGGGCGTGATGGCAACCCCCCAATTGTGCTGCGTACTTGTGCTCCTGAGTTGGCTCCGGTCCTAACGCGCCTTTTCCGGTACCTGTACACACTCGGCACTGTTCTGAAGTGCGACATCCGATCCCTAAAAAAGGCGATCGCTCTGATCCGTCCAACTATCGCCCAATAGCTATAACCTCCTTGTTCTCCAAAATAATGGAAACCATTATTAACGGCCAGCTCTTGAGGTATCTAGGGGGCCACCAGCTGATTAGCGATTCTCAGTACGGCTTTCGTCGTGGTCGCTCAGCAGGTGACCTCCTTGTATACCTTACACATAGGTGGGCAGAGGCAATTGAGTCCAAGGGGGAGGCGCTGGCTGTAAGCTTGGACATAGCGAAAGCTTTCGATCGGATGTGGCACAGAGCACTGCTCTCGAAGCTTCCAGCCTATGGGCTCCTCGAGACATTATGCAACTGGATATCCAGCTTTCTCGCTGATCGGAGCATCAAGGTCGTCATCGACGGAACATGCTCCGACCTGAAACCTGTGAATGCTGGTGTCCCACAAGGCTGTGTCCTATCCCCGACCCTGTTTATTCTGCATATCAATGATATGTTGCAGCTTAGCAACATTCATTGCTATGCGGACGACAGCACTGGGGATACTTTTTACACTGGCCGGGCAGGTATTTCTCGGGCTGTTGTCGATGAGTACCGGAACAAACTTGTGTCTGAAGTCGAAACTCTTCTACGTGGCGTCTCGGACTGGGGTAGACTAAATCTAGTCCAATTTAACCCCAAGAAGACACAAGTATGCGCGTTTTCCGCTAAAAAAACTCCCTTTGTCGCTATTCCCCTCTTTGAAGACACTCTCCTTAAAGCCTCAGCTAGCATCGGAGTACTGGGCGTTGACATATCGAATAACGTTCAGTTTCGCGGTCATCTGGAAGGAAAGGCTAAATTAGCCTCAAAAAAGCTTGGTGTGCTCAGCAAGGCGAGACGGTACTTCACTTCGGGCCACCGCTTGCAACTCTATAAAGCGCAAATTCGGCCCCACATGGAATACTGTTCTCACCTCTGGGCGGGAGCTCCCCAGTACCAGCTCCTTCCACTTGACCGTATCCAACGAAGAGCGATTCGAATCGTCAACGACCAGTCACTCTCCGTGCGGCTTGATCCCTTGGCGTTGCGTAGAGATGTGGGGTCTCTCTGCATCTTCTACCGCATTTACCATGGAGAGTGTTCAGAGGAGTTGTTCGGTCTAATACCTGCAGCTGAGTTTCATCATCGGACGTCAAGGCAAAATACAAAATACCATCCGTATCACCTCGACGTCCGCCGTTCCACAACTGAGCGTTTTGAAAAACCTTGCCTTGAAAGGCAGTTTTTGCCGCGCACCACCACTATGTGGAATCAGCTGCCCACTGAAGTATTTCCGAACCAATTCGACTTAGGGTCCTTCAAGAAAAGAGCGTACCAATTCTTGAAAGGCCGGCAACGCACTTGCGAGCCTTCTGGCTTTGTGAGTGTCCATGGGCGGCGGTATCACTTAACATCAGGTGAGCCTCCTGCCCGTTTGCCTCCTATTACATTTTTAAAAAAAAAGACATTTGGGTAGGCCGCATAAATTACTCAAACTGTCAGACTATGACTAAAACTATTAAAGTTTACTGGAAACTACTTAGAGTGAGAACTATTTAGAGTGGACTGGAAGTTTCTCTTTAGTAAAATTAATTTGAGAACATTTTGTGGCATATCGTAATTAACAGATAAATTATTATTTATAAATATAAAGCAAAAAGTATCTTATTCCAAGAAATGTGATCACTCATACGATAATGCTCCGAATGTCTGCAATGGCAGGCAAAAATTCAAAACCCAGCACATACATGTGCTGTCCATTCTTTAAATTTTGTAGTAACTGCGGCTACCAAATCTTGTACGGAAGGTTCTGCTTTTTTCATGATGCTACAGGAAAACGCAAAACTGAAACAGATAGTGATTATGACATGTTGGTAATTTTTTTGTACTATATAGTACAAGTAGCGGCACGAAACTCTAGCGCTGACCGTTATATTTACAGAAGTAAAAAATAAGGTACCTGAGGGGGGCTAGCGGGCGCGCGTAGCGTCGATTGGCTCTCCAGTCGCATTCCGTCCCCCGCGCGACAGTACACATGCGCAGCAATCCCCTCCACGTATCGGCCAGCGCTAGACTTACGTGCCGCTGCCTATACAGGGGGAAATCGGGCAGGAGGCTCATCTGATGTTAAGTGATACCGCCGCCCATGGACACTCACATTACGATTGAACGCTTTAGCTATGGCCAAACTTACCGCCAGCGCCTCTGAACAGTTGGGGAAGTGACTCGCTTGACTTATGAATGTCCAAGGAGGAAAACTTTGCGGATAGCACATTACTGGAATATAATTTCCGGCATTGAAGTATCTGTGGATATTGTTGGTGGTGAATCCTTTTTGTTGCAAGGTCGAGCTGGACGCGAAGAGACAGCCTAAAAGATCGGCTTTTTACTTCGCGGAATGAGACAAAAAGTCATCCTTCTTGTTCAGTAGTAAAACAATCTCGCTTTCGTCGGAAGACCGCCTTGCAAGAGCGTTTTAACCAGGACTGGGACTGGCCACCGATCGTCATGGAAAGAACAGTTCCATACCGCAGGACCACCTCGGGAACAGTCAGCAATGGCATCCGGAGCACCCAACGAAAAGCAAATAGGCCCCCAAGGGTAGAAGGCAAAGATGGTCCGCATGCTCAATCTGCTGACCTGTAGTGCGCTGTGGACGGCACAGTGCTCCGAATCATGCAATGATCCGACGAACCCAACGACTAAGACTTAGTAGTTCTCCGGATGCCAGGTCTGCAGAAGATCGAACAAAAAACGTTTATGACCATCCATCTGATATTGGTGTTGGCTTTGGGACCATTTATATATAGCAAAATCGTGAAAGGATCTCCCCGCATGGTCGGTGGTTTTAGAGCCATCAGCCTAGCCATTCGGCGTGATCGGCGTTAAAATCTGTAGCCGTTTGGATGTGCTGGAGGAGTCGGTCGACATTGCCAATGTGTGACCTATAAAGGCACACGTAGAATCGCGGGCCTACCCGCAGCCAGAAGATAGATAGGTCCTTCAAGTGACTCGAAGCGACGAGAACAGACATCTCTGTCTGACAACTCCCGCCGGCGGCACAAATAAATTATCCAATTTGTCTCGGTGAGAAAGAGCAAGGCCGGCTTCGCAGTCTTTAAATAATGCGTGTATGTTGGAATTGAGACCCCAAACATTTGTGAAGTCCACGGCGAGTGTGGAAGAGTGCCTTTTTAGTTTGCTCCATTTGCCCCGAGATCGAATGACAGCCTGTGCGCCTGAGACTGAGTGTCCCGGTGGTGGACGCCCAGAGAGAGATTCTCCAACGCGAGCGCATGTAGTTTGTTGGAACCTCCTTAGGGTATTTTTTTTTATTCTGCACCGTCGATAAAGAAAAACTTAATGCTTTTATGCATAGTGTCTAAACTAATTAAAAATATTTACGGTTTTAAGTACGTATTTTGTTCAAGCTGTCTTCATAATGATGAAGCAGTTTTGGCCCAGTAGCTTCAGCATGCGACTATTGTGACGTGCAACATCCCTGAGCTCGAAGGTTCGATCCCCGGCTGTGCTAAGTGCACGAATGAACCTATCGGTCTATATGCTCATGTAATACGGGGACATCATTAGAAAACTGGCACGTCTCAAATCCAAACAGAAGGATGATCTACTTGTCTATGAAACAAAAATGATCAAAGAATCTGATGCAATTGAGGCCAATATCCATATACTTACCTACCCTATATGTTGCGCCACTGGATTATTATTATTGTGTTCACAATGAGTAAGTTTGAAGACATACCTACCTTACTCCAGCTTACAAGTAGTAGGTACACGATTGAGTTTTTCTTAGCTCGGAAATACTACAAAGACTATTTCTTGAGTAAAATTTCATCCCCTAGTTCACGATCATACACATAATAGAAATCGCTGATATAATGATGACGATAAAGTACAAATTATAAAATGCAATTTAATTGACAAAAAAATGGAAACTATGATTGTAAACTTGTTTATTATTATTATAATTGCAGAGTTTGGTATAGGTGGTAAAAGTTGAATAGCCTACTGGCGGCAAGATTCGAGATTTGTTGAGCATTTTTTTGGCTACAGAATGAAGACTATGTATTAATTAAGAATTTCGAGTTTAGTGCGCGACTACGATTTTTAGAAATTAATACTTTTTCGTTTAATACATTGCTAATGCCAATAAAATTGCTGTAAATTTAACATCACAATTAAACCAAACCTTAATAATTATATACTACAGAACAACGAAATAAAAGATCAACTCTGTTTCAATTTCTTTTTAAACATCGGACACAATCACAAAGGCTTTGAGAGCTTTGAATGAGGAGAAACTACTATGTTTAAAAATCCAACGTTTGCCTTTAATTAAACAGATAAAAGTCCTTGTATAGCTCTACTGTGCTTCTTCAGTGCACTTAAACGTGTACTTGCATAATGCGGCTTACGTAACGTGACTAACTGAAACTCGAAAGTCTGTTAAGCAGGTCTGAGTCGAACCTATAATTTACTATTACTATTATACTTATCTATTACATTTCTACAAGAAACTGAAAAAATTGGTTTTTCAAATTAATTATAATAACAGCCATTTATTTCTAGACAAATTAGAGATTTGTCCAAATTCTATCGAGAAGTATAAAAAGCTGAAAAAGCTTTATAAAAAAAACTTCTTATGACAAGATGTAATGGAGGGATATATCCCTCTTTTTTGTCTACATAAACGTCTGCAAAGTCGTAGAGTACCTACTTCAGACTGTAATTGGTTGGAAAAAAGGTTGGACGAAACGTTACTAATATAAACTTTGTAAAATATAATATATTGATCCTCATTTTTTCAGATTAGTATAATGATAATATTTAATTTGGCTTTTATTTCATATCATCCTTTACGTATTCTACATGAATAAAGTTGTAGAGAAAAACTGCTAACAAAGTCCGTCTGTCTGGGACGTCATAAATTGTCAGCAAAGGCTTTTTATAAATATTAAATGCATTAAGTTAGAGGCTTTACTTACTTTAACGCAACAGTCGTAAAATCGCGCAAAATCTAACAGATAGCAATCATATTAAACAAAGACATTTTTTATAATTTATTATTAAATAGACATAAAAATAAATAGAATATGCTTGAAGAAAAAGTAATAAATTCAAAATAAATGCATAACAAAATACACTGTTTCCTTATTAAACAAAATTATTTGATAGGGGCATTTTTCATGGATTTAGTAGTAACTGCATTTCCATTCAATTTACTAATAAGCTTATTTCCTTGCCATACAGCCAAAAGGCTGTCATTTGTTTTTAAATCTGGTTGTAATTTCTCCCAAATCTTTTTCTTGGGATTAAGCACTTCATCAGGTTGACCATTTTCATAGCCTTCAACAACAACACGGTCTCCAGGCTTACTGCCTTGAGGTGGTAGTAATGGCTCGACTTGTTTAGGATCATCGACAGATGCACACAAGACCATTCCTTTAGATTCCACACCACGCATTTTAGCAGGTTTCAAGTTGCACAATACTACAACGTCACGGTTTTGCATCTCCTCAATTGGTACAAAATTCACTAGTCCTGACACAACTGTTCTTGGTTCTCCCTCATTTAGATCAATCTTCTCCACATAAAGAGCATCTGCATCTGGATGTCGTGAAACTTCAACAATCCTGCCGACTCTAATATCTAATCTGCTAGGTGTAACCTCGTCAGTACTTGCAACATTTCCCTTTACTTTTACTGGGGGTGGGTAAGCTTTTTTAGACAGTTCTTGCAACTTGGGTTCTTTAAATATCTCTTGAATAGGTGCTAAAAGACTATTCATAGCTAGTTCAACAGATGCTTTTAAATCACCAGGATGAATCTCTTGGTTTGCAAAAGCTAATTCAAGATCTTCAAATTTTGTGTATTCTACATTGCCACCATGATCTGGTGATCTGCAAATCTTAAAACTTTCTCCTTCCTTCATTAAAGAAAACAATACATGTTTAGTGAACGAAAGTAGTCCGTTTTCAGCCACATTACCTGGTTCACAGAAAGCTTTTTTAAGCTTCTTCTTAACATTTGCTGGATTATCTAATAAATCTATTTTACTATCTTCTTCAGAAGAAGACATTTTAGCACCAGTTAATCCTGGTACCATGGGATTCATAAAATGAATACGTTTTGCATACCCCAACTGTGGTAGGTACTTTTCTGACATTGTAAAAATTTTTCTTTGATCAACACCTCCGAATTGGGCATCTACTTTTAAATATTCTTCATCTAAAGCTTGTAGACAAGGGTAGAGAAGTCCACTAAGCAATGGATGGTCTACTTGCTTTACAACTTCTGCCCCAGCCTTTTTAGCATCATGTTCAGTAATCACAGATGACATACGGTAAACATCTAAAGTATATTCTTTACTGAGCTGATATTCAGTCCCCCTGACAAATTTAAGTTTCTCTAAAGGAACGCCAATAGATGTTAACATTGCTTTAATAGCAGCTTCATAATATTGGGTACGTAGAACAAGAAGTTCCCATGGAGCTTTCATGTTGTCTAAGTATGCATGTAAGTCGGCAAACAATATTGTGACTTCACAGCCTGCTTTGAGAAAGTCTGCTATTTTTGACATGGGTACAAAGTAAGCCACATGAGGTCTGCCTGTAGTGGCTGTGCCCCAGTAAATTTTTAAATCTCGCTCTTTTAAAATTTCAGTAAGTTTTTCATCACCCAACACCTCTTGCAGGTTTCGGGTAATTAAATGTTTCTTATTTTCCCAATCAGCCATTTCTTCGGTCAAACTGGAAACTAATAAAGTAGAGGTTAAACCATGTTTAAAGAAAAGGTGAAGGTGAAAGAGTGAAGTAATAAATTATACGTATTACCTTTTATAACAACTATAACAAGAGGATAAAATCCGATTTATTTATTTTAATCAAAGAAAAACTACTATTTACGAGTATGTTAGGAACTCTCCGTTTTTGATTTCGTCATAATTTTATAATTTCGTATTCGTGGTGATTGCTAAGTACAAAAAAAAAAAAAACGATACGTAGTACGTACGATACTTTGACTTAAGAGTTACGGGCTACGGCTAACGGCATGCGATTTGAAGTTTTAAATTTTGACATTGACTGTGCAGATACAGTGTAATGTTTTTAGTTATAGCATTTTGACAATTGCAATTACTTTATGCAGTAGACATTATAATATATAGACAGCTTTAAAAACACTCTAAATACACACATTAATTTTTATAAAAATGCACGTAGACTATAACAACGTCACTGGTTTTAGTCATATGAAATCAGTTACAGCGTCATGTTTTATTTTATTGCCTTCTTCTATAAATTAACTATTAAACAATATGGTAACTTTTCAATTTGACCGTCTGACAAAGCTCGCTCAAACAAATAAACTAAATTACTAATACAACAACAAGCTAAACAGCTTTATAAGAAGCAAGCCATTTGTATTATACCTATATAATAAAACCGGAGAGTTGCCTGCGCACCTTAATCTCGAAATGTAAATTGTTTGTCTGTTGGTAAGTCCGTTTGTCAAAAATTGCTAGACCTAGATAACAGCAATTACCAACAAATAAACGTAGGGCAGCAAATATATAAACATGTTGCAAATATAGAATATTATATATATGGGATATTTCATATTGATACCTGTGATAAACTAAACGTCATACATCATTTTTTGGACTAAGTTAAATGTGAAAGTAGTTATTTACAGTTTACACATTATACAAAAAAGAGTATTTTATACATTTGTTATAGAAAATATTAGTAAGGGCTATAACCGTGATGAAATAAATGATGCACCTTTAATGTACATATATAACATATAATATAACGGTTAAAGAAGTCTTTAAGAAAATTCCATCGTGACGAAAATAACCACGGTGACAGATACAAGGAATCTATGTTTTGTTTTTTTCCCTAGATATGGTACTGAATTCTATTTACACAAGAAATCAAAGAGATCAATCTAAAGCTATAAAAAAAAAGTATACCGATAAAAATGGAAATTATTATCTGTTAAAGCAATACTTAGTTTTTACCACAGAATATTACAATATTATTTTTAATAGCGACAGGCAAACAATTTTAATCATGATATTCAACTACCTATTCATTCATTTATAATTAATTGTTAAACCGTTTTTTGTTTTACAATTACCCATAACTGTTAAAGATGTAAATATGTTAGATTATTATTAATATTTATTGTTATTTTATTTCCGCATACGACTTGAATAACGATATTCAAATTTCAAACCCACTTTAATATATGATAAAGGGGTTGATTATTTTTTGAAATCTAGACTTATCGATTAAAATAATGTTTAAAATTCCTTTCACTTTAAAACGCTTTTCGAGCTTTTAAAATTTATAGTATATAAGCAATAAACTTACAAAAAAAAATATTTTTGGTAAACAATTGCTAAAGAAATTATTTCCTGCCTTGCCTTATTTAAAAAAAATCTTTTTTTTTGTTTACTTATAAATTGTTTAAAATGAAAACAAATGATGTTATTCGTCAAATCACATTCATCTTTTAATTTCATATAATAATATATTGAGAGACCTACAATGTTAAAAAAACTTTAGTGCTGTTTTGTATTGGAAAAATTAAAACCAGTACAATTGCCTTGCAATAAACTTAAAATGTCATAATATTAAGTATTATATTTAACATGGATACAATAAACTATCCATAAACAAAATTCAAAAAATTTGAATCTGAGCGCCATTGTTGCAGTGAATGCTTGAATTTCCTGTCAAAAGCGCCATTGCGCATGACAGTCAGTGCGGCCTTGCAGACTGAGAGCGCTGCCAACAAAGGCCGAGTCGATGGGGTTAAAAAAAAATATTATTTGATCATCTAAAACCCTTTTGTTATTGTAATTATAATTTTAAATAGGTTGTGAATCTGTGATTACGTTAAGAAATGTGTGAATGATATGAATCGTGACGACTAGCAAAGGAGTCAGCTGGTCAAAAGTGCGAATAGTGAATAAGAAATGGCGGCCTTGCCAGCAGGTGTTCAGTATGCGTTATCATCAGAGTCTAGTTATAAAGAAAACAAGGAACTAGTGTTTGTGAAATTAACGGATTCAGCATTAAAAGCTATAGAAGACTTCATTAGAAATAATAGGGTAAGTACCTACGCCATATTGTTAACACCAAAACAGGCCAGCAATGTCAGGCGCCATACTTATATTTCAAGTAATCAAAATGAAACTGCAAATTGTAATGTTTTTGCAAATGAGGTATTTATCTAAGTATTCATATTTACGACAAGATAATAGATTTTATAGTGTAGTCTTGCAAAAGCTATCTTCTTTACAATGTCACGCCACGTCAACATGAAGAAATTTGCTCTGTTATTTTCTCACATTTACATTTCATGTCTATATTTAGAGGCTTGTAACTTATTATCGGATAAATTCAAAACATATAGAGTGGTATAGATGTTAGATATCATAAATTTGCATCATTACAAAGTTAGAAAGTAACTAGGTATCGTCGTGTCGTGATAAAAACAATTGGCTGATAATTTCTTCACGACAAAAAAATTACGGTTAAAATTGCAAATAAATAAAACGTTGATATATAACAGTCAGTATGTTAAGTGCACGAATTTACGATGAAAAATATGAATTAATTAGGGCTCAGTTTAACTGATCTAACACCTTAATAAACTAATTTAGTACTCAAAAATCCAATAATGATATTAATCACATAATGTCTTAAAGAAAAACCTAATCTGGGGCCCAAAACGCAAAGCCATAAAATATAGTTAGATTATGTAATTATAATGTTTAGTTTAATTGAATTTTAAAATAAATTTGAATAGAAATGTGTATATAGATTAAATTAAATTATTCACTAATATTGTTTATGGACTAAACTTCTGTATTAAGAAAAGCCAGTTTTGTATACTTAAGTATTATTTACAAAAATGTCATATTAATAAATTCTTTTGAAAGTGCATTAAATGCCTAATTTAAAAAAATATTATTCTTAGATAATAACTATAGCACAAACTTATTTTAAAGAGCACTGGCTCTCAAAAATTAAAAAAGCCAATTCTAGACACTCATTCTTTATTAAAATATTATCACAATTATATTTAGATTATACATGTATGAGCATAATATATATACATATACATAATATGAGCTAAAACCTACTTATTAGGGAAGTTGTGGTGAAAAACGAATAGGCTTATTATTAGATTTGATTAGCATCTTGGAAAACAGAAATCTTACTAAAATATATAACAGTATTTTGGTACTCTAGCTTTTCAATACTGATAGATATTAAACTACCATCATAAGATTTTGAAAGCTATAATAAGCGTCTTTATATGACTCTTTAATACCTGTTAATAGGATATCTGTATTACAAAAATGGTTCTAGAAACATAAGTATCAATTTACTCAACTAAAAATCATCAACAAAATGTTAGCTTAGGTTGTTTTGTGCTGGAAGTTTCTTATTTTAGAGGCCATGACATATTTTGGGTTGAAAGCAAGCAGAATGTGACTTTGTTGTGCAAATTTCAATTTTTACAGTTGATGCTAAGCTTCATTTTCATTTTGCCTTAATACTACAAAATATTTATTAAGATTCTAACAAAAAAAAAATTGTTTAAATCAAATCCACCAATGTGTGTTTTGTGTGCACCAATGGTATTTACTTTCTATGTGCATAATTAAACTTCTTTGTTTGTAGAAAATTAACATCATAAGAAATCAAGTGATTTCTCTGACACAAAAATTGATAAATGACATATATGTCAAGCACAGAAGGGCGAAGAAAAATAAAGGAATAGATCCCAACTGAGGCTAACATATCTGTGGCACCACTGTTATTATAGTTACAACGATTATAATACATATTTTTTTAACTTGTATTTTTGCATTAAACATATTACAATGTTTTAATTAATCATTTAAATATTAATATTCTATAATTTATTGGTATATTTAATGTTTTCAATTTTAATAATTTAGGTAGGAGACATTTAAACATAATTTAGCTATATATTATTTATAGTATTTGTTATACAGCAATAGAATTTAATTTAATTGAACAATCTCATAATGCTTATGGCATGATAAGAAATTTGTGTTACACTTTTTGTTGGTTTTATATTGCCAACTATAACCACTTGTTGACCGTTTAATGGTCTGCTAATCAGTACTTGTGGTAAATGCTAACTTATTAATAAAAAGACTAAGGAAGTAACTAACTTTAATTAAGGATAAAGTCTGATCATGTACTGATTGATTCTTAATAAACTCACAATCAAATTGTTAAGAAACAAAATTGGCACAATAGGTTAGTTGGTCATATGCTGGTTTGTCATTAGGTTTAGCACTTATGGGAATTAGCCTTAAATCAATAAAATAAAATATATGTTTTAGTTAAAATAACAAAGAAGATGTCTGGATTGTTACAAAGCTTTTCATTGCTGTTTCTCAATTTAAATGGATATATAAAACTTGAATTCATTTCTCAAGATAATATAAAATCTAATACAGACAATGCCTAGAATTTAAAATATTACTTCACTATGAAACATTCAATAGGATCTGTAGTAGTTTTACATTTTAAGTAATTTGTGATGAATAGATTTTCTTTGAGCAATTTATTTCACTACAACAATGATAATGTAATAATATATAGATAAAATCACATAATAAAATATGCACACAAAAGAGTAAAACTGTAGGGTTTTAGTTTTGTCTCTCTCAGAGAGTAGAGCCGAAGATTTATTTTACTTTCTGTTGCAATACGAAAAAGTATTAGTATATTCTGGATGAACAGTAGAAATTTCTAGATTGGCTTGGTGTACAATTAACTTACACAATGATTTTAATGCTAATTATTATTCTTCTATTGTATTTTAAAATAGGTCGTAAACTTAGCTGATCATAAAATTAATATGTTGGCGGCACAAATATTTTGACTAATGTCAACATCGTTGGACTCCGTTAACGAGGCCCCCAGGAAATCGTTAACTGGCATGGCGCTCGATGGTTCTAGGCCATTTCACTCAAAAGCTTTTTAATTTACGAATCACTTATATACTTACCATATATATATTATTAAAGCTACAACGTTCAACCTTAGTTCGAAATATTTGTAGAATAATTAAAGTACTTCCGCATTTTATGACATTGTGGTAAGATTGTTCAAAGTTAAATCGCCGTTTTGGCATGTACCTGAAAGAAGCAGATGCTGTCGCAAAATAGTCAAGTTGCGAACATTCGATTTGGGCGTAGCACAAGTCTACTAAGCTGGTTCACCACCTGACAGATTTCGATGCACGTGTTTTAAAACGATAGGGCATACTGCGTTTAGATTAGGGGCACCTAAGCGGTCTTGCATGGCAAATTTGAAGGCAGTTTATATACCGGTAAGATTCATTTTTCAATGGTCCCTTTGCAAAGAATTGACGTTAGTTTTTTTCGTTGATGTCGTGAACGTGCCACCTGGCCTTTTTTTCTGACCATAGCGCCCATTGAAAGTTATTGTGAATCTCTATTGTTATATTGAATTATGTCCAGTATGTTTAGTGATTTATGTACTAAGCCTTATTGAATGGCAGATTACAAGATGGTTTGAGACGTTTTAGATGATATTTCTTAAAAAAAAATTATCATAAGTTAAGTGTAGTCACAAATCAATAAAAAATATAAGGCAATTAGAACTCAAATATGATCTTAATTACAAAGTGACTACACAATCGCTTTTAAAATAAATGTGGTTCCATTTAAAAAAAACCTATAAATCATATGTTATACTTAAGGTATTACGGTTTTCTCGAAAAGATAATCTTAGCGCGTTAAATAAAAATATAATATACGAAACATTAAATTTCAATAAGTTACAGTAACCGTTGGATAAAAACTACAGTGGGGTCGGTGTACCCTCCTTCCCCTCTTAATTCTTGCCACCTGGTTGTCCCTCCTTAACAGATGTGGAATCTTTTTAAACGGTAATTGTTATCGCTATTGACGATATAAGTAAGTTGATGTTAATGAGTGATAAATTAACAGGCAAATTGTATTTATTCATATTCATGTATACTTTATTTTCATACGTTTAAATGATGGATTCACATTTTATTTTGTTTAGTGACTACTTGTTATATTTTTTCTGATAGGTGGGTTTGTGAAGTGCCAAACAGTTTATCTTTTACTGCGTTTTGTAGTTAGTTACGTTGTGGAAATCTAAAAACAAAACATTCGGGTACATTTTTTTTTTAAATGTATGTCTAGAAAGAGATAGATTACTAATTAGAAGTAAGAAGGTTACGGGACACCGACCTTATGTTAATAGTTTAACGTATAAGCCACGGTATTGAGCACGATGTCCTAGCATTCATTGTATGGATAATAAATTTAAAAAAGTTCTTTTCTGTTTAAGTATAGGCTATCGGTAGTTTAAAGACAGAGGCTCACTTCTACTAGTGCGAGCCCACAATTTTTTTAGACATAACTTACAATATATAACGTAATTGATTTTCAAATTTTTATATTACGATGACGATGCAGTACACATCAATGATTTTTAAAATTATATTGAAAAAACTTAAGGATCCTCGAAAAAATCTGGGGTAAATACATACGATAGGTATTTGTAACACGGTCAACGCTAAGTGTATAATAAAGAAATAAGATTATAAATTAATTGACATTGACTTGATTGAAGAATTTAATATGTACCGACATGCTAGAGGCGAGGACGACAACTTAAGAATTCTTCAATATCAGCAGGTAAATCAAGCATTTTGATATTTGGGTAATGATATTTCAATATACACTATTTGAGAGAAACACAGGGCGTAATAATAATAAAAATACAAAATAAAACTTAAGATTTTCTCTGTAGTATTGACGTCATCTAGGTCTCAGGATCGTTTGAAGGTTGGAATTTTTCGTGGCGTAATACTGATCGTCGTTCACTTTCTCTGGTTTAAAAACATTTGTGAAGTCGAGAGTGGGATACCTGGTTAAATTTTCACTTATTGGACAAATGAATTTCGTTGTACAATTTAGATGACTTGGAAATCCTTGAAAATAGCTATCGTGTGGGTTTTCACGTATGCACATATTACTTCTTTACCTTTGTGACTCAAAAACAAACAATTTAGTTTTAGAACATTATAGATTTACTGGTACTACCATAAGGCTTCAAAATAAATCGTTTACATATCTTATCTGTTGTAAAATACTTTTCCTAAAAGGTCACTTGTATTTCGCTAAGGTCAATTTGTCTTATTTTATTGCTTCACCGTACCACGTAGCAATTCTAACCAAGGCTAAAATTAGTTTATTTTAAAAATACATAATGACTTGTAGATAACGTAACTTAATTAGGAACTAAATTTATTCGAAAACATTGGTATGTCATTATAAAATATTTCACACAATTTGTAATTTACTTTTTCATAACATGACGCTTGATAGCTAAATGATTATATTATACGTTTCCTTTATCAATATTTTCTATTAGCAATAAAATGACTTTTTTTGTTTTTTTTTGTGATCACAGCGAAGTAATTATCACTTTTCTTCTAAAACAATTAAGCATTGTGACAATTTAAGATTTTTGAATAATTGAATATCATTAAGTATGTGTACCGACCTTGCCAATACGACCGGTTCGGCATTCGACTGGTTTCTTATAAAATGTTTTAAGATCACGATTTAGTATGGACATAATGTATATTATTTTTCATATTTTATTGTAAACACCCTAAAGGCAAGTGCAGTGTTTTATAAGACATGAATAGGTAGATAGCATGGCCATGAATGCTAGTTCCGGGTCATCCCCTCTTGCATGGGCGCGATGCAACTAAATTTCACATTGAGCTCGCTTGTTAAGTAAGTAACTAAAGCAATTTTTAAGTTTACATCATCGTTGTTGCCCAGCCTAGTTATGATTCTCACATTCGACCGTCGCCGGTTGCGCAATTACTTGCAGACTGTTGGCTCTACACCTTTTTTGTTCGTATACGATCGAATTTCTAATTCGTATAATAATTATACTAAATAGGAAAGATTTCACAGTTACAGTTTAATACAATAAATTACAAGCTACAACCGAATGATGTTTTAACAAGGTACAACTGAACATCACGATAATATGTTAAGTAGTTATTATCAATTTTATTTCAATGTCGCAATAATCAACGATTCTAATGTTGCAATTTTTTATATATATTATATATTCTATGTAGTAGCTAATGATAGCGCTATACCTTTCCTATTATAATTATCATCTTTTAATTCAAGACAAGGGTAAATACCGAACTAATAAGCAATTAATTACGTACGACACATACAATTTACTAAGATGCGGTGATTCCTTAGATACTGTGGGTACCATACATAAAAATGTGACGTGACTTTGCACATTAAAGATATTCAAGTAATATATAAAAAAATAAAATGAAGTTATTGTCGGGTCTTTATATGGTATGCTCGTCACGCAAACACTGAATGCATTAAGATGTAGAAGACAGCACCGGGCCTATGTCAGTGCAGGTCGCATATTTGCTGGTATCATCATAGATGGTGTTAATAGTGGCTGTAATTGATTCCTTTTTATTTGATCCGTAATTGATTTGTTTACCGTACTCTAGATGTTGCCTGGACGACTGTCTTCATTGTATCGCTTTACTTGTGAAAGAGCTATATAAATCAATTAACACCTTTTGATTTAATTATTCAAAACTTACTTATTATTACCTTAGGGATCACGTGAACCCCAATTAATTAATTAATTAACCCCGTTAATTACTTAATCACTGAGGAATCAATATAACTTTC